TGACCGCGTGGGGGTCTCGGGTCCCTGGGTGGGCCTGACCAGCCTTCCCCTCATGGGTGTCTGTCCACCTAACTGCTCCTCGTCAACTGGGGCGGGGCGGCTGCTTTCCGGCTCCCCTGGCTCTGGCTCTGCCCTCTGCTCCCGCTGTCCACATTCCTTTGTGAGACTCCAGGTGTCTGGGAAGATAGCCCGCTGGTCCCTGGCCACGACAGCTGGCTCAGGTACTTCCTGGAAGCTGGGCGTGGCTCCGCCGGGGATCTCAGGCCTGGGCGCCTCCAAAGCCCACAGCTGCTCCCAAGCGGCAGCCATGGCTTCCTCTGGGTACGAGGGGTTGGCCAACAGCTCCTGGGGACCTGTGCGCCCAGCTTGGCGGGGTGGTGTGTGGCAGGGGGGCGCCCTGGAAAGCTCATTTGTGAGGTTTGGTAGGTTTCTCCAAACCTGAGCCTGGCTCTCTGCACCAAACGGCCCCAGAGAACCCTCCACAGAGGGAGACCTTGAGCCGGGAGTGTCAGGTGTCGCCTGGAGGCCAGCCAAATCAAGCCAGCTGGGGGCCACAGGAGGTAGAAAGCCCCACCCATTATCCCGGTCCTCCAAGCAGAGGACCTCCTGGGTGGGAGCACGGCCTCCAGAGAGGAGCTCAGTAGTGGATGGCAAGAATACAGAGGGCCCAGGAGGAGGAGGAGAAGGAGAAGGTATGTGGTGTGGGGATGGAGCCGGTTTGGGAGGCAGCCCCGGGGAGCTCAAGGCCACAGCAGAGGAGCTGGTCTGGAAGAGGAGAAAGACAAAAGGCAGGAAGGAGAGGAGAGAGAGATGGGAGAGGTGAGGAGAGGTGCTATCTGCAAAGGGTGGGCTTGGCCTGAGGGCTCTGAGAGCCACCATCTACACTGACCAAGACCAGACCGAGGTGGCTGAGAACCTGAAGCATGGGGACTGGCCTGCGAAAAAGACCCAGACCCCACAAAGGTTTTCCTGGGCTCCACATCCCTGGCCCCCATCAAACCCAGGCAGTAGAAAGCCTCCACTGAGACACGCCTGCGGGGCCACCCCAGTCAGAGTAGGGACAAGGGGGAAAAGGCTACAGAGGGTGGACCATGGGGGACAGTGACCAGGAACGGCAGCCCAAGCACTAATCGAGGGAGAGTCGGCCGCAGGCAGCTGCTCTGCTTCCTCCAAACTTGGCTCAACCTGGCTGTCTCCCCCAGACAATCCTAGCCTTCCTGCATCCCCCAAGACCTTCATCTTGGGGCACAGCTAGAACCAGCGCAGCTTCTTGTGGGCACTGCAACACTGTCTGTCTCAGAAAGTAAAAACAGGGGCGCCTGGTGGCTTAGTCGGTTAAGCGTCCGACTCTTGATTTCCGATCGGGTCGTGATCTCAGGGTCCTGGGATCAAGCCCCACATCAGGCTCCCGCTCAGCAGAAAGTTTCTCTCTCTTTCTCCCTCTGCCCCTCCCCCTGCTCATATTCTCTCTCTCTCTCTCAAATAATCTAAAAAAAAAAAGGTAAAAACAGCCTAAAGGGTGGTAGCGCAGGGCTCCCCAAGGCCAACACCAAAGCCCAAGGGATTTGTTTCTGATGGTGGCCACTCACCACCCACAACCACTGGCACGTGAGGGTCACAAGCCCAGGCAGCTCCCATCCCCCACTGTGAAACCCCAGCTGGAGGGACTCTTGGAGGTACCCTCAGGGCCAAGAGCACTCAGATGGCTTGCTCCCCTTCTCAGATTCCCTACTTCGTGCCCCAAAGGTCTCGGGCAGACCCACGTGGAAGGGTGAAGTCAGCAACTGCTGGAGATCAGTCAGGCACTGCATCTTCTAAATAAAACATCCTGGGTCTGGCAGGCCTGGGAGTCCCAGGACGGGAGGGGAAGGATGCCTCATGCGGGACTGGCCCAGGAGCCTGAGGGGTTTCGGTTTCCCACAGACAGAACCTGTGGGGACCTGGGCCTGTGGAGGGTGTGGGGAAGGATGGAGGGAGGCTGGTAAAGGAGACCTGTGCATTCGGGAGCCAGAGGCAGACAGAAAAGGGATGTGCTGAGGAGAGACAGCCAGCGTGGGAGATGGGGCTCCAGGGCAAATGACCTCTCAGGCACAGGATCCCAGTCCCACACGGCCCAGCAGAGAATGCCCTCCCTCCCAAAGAGCAACCATCAACACAGAACCCTTTGTCCCAGCCTCTTGATCCCCTCGCCTGGGTGGCTGGGAGCTGGGAGCAACCCGGGAGGAAGGAATTTCCCTGCTAAGTGCTTCTCTGCCCTCAGAGGCCGTGAGGCAGCCCAGTCCCCATGAAGCCCAGTCTGACCCTCCCTCCCCAGCATGCTGGGGAGGCCAGAGCCCCACAGGATCCCTGGCTCAGGGTGAGGCACCCAAACACTGAGGGCCCGAGTTCCAGCTGCTCACACTGAGGTAGAGGGGAAGAAGAATGTGGGGGCAGGGAAGAGGAGGGGTCTCGGGGCACCTTGAAATCCGAAAGGGAGGCCATCAGCTCGTCCAGCTCCCTGGTGGCTGAGGAGGCTGAGATGCGTGTCTGCTGCTGGCTGGAGGTCACTCGCTGAGGACTGCTCATCTCACCCTGGTTCACAGTGATGGCAGGGCTGCAGGGTGGGCACGGCGTCAGCGGGGACCCCAGAGGCCAGCTCCGTGTTCCCCCAGAGTGGCCCTCTCTTCTCCAGGGTCTCAACATCTCAGCTCTCACATGGGCCCCCCGCCTGACTCCAGAGAAGCCCACCAGCTCTCGATCTCAGCCGTGGGAACAGAGCTGAGGTGAGAGGTGGGAGGTGGGAGAAGAGGACAGCTCGACGGGCCCCTTTCTCAGGAGGACAGCTCTGGCCCTCCCAGCCCGAGTTCAAGCTCGCCTGTTAAACAAGCCCAAGCACCGTGTGTATCCCCCCACAACACCGCATGTACCTGTGAGATTGTTCCAACAACACAGTAATCCCAAGAAGGGGTAACATTTAGTAACCACCAACCATGTGCGTTATGTGCTCTGAGCCAGAAACCATTCCAGAAACTTTACGTGTATTATTGGGTCTCATCCCATCAAGGCAGGTGGCCTTACCGCCATTATCCTATATCTCTTTATCCCATTTTATAGACAGGACAACTAAGGCTTGAGAGACAACACTCAGTAAGGACAGAGCCAAGATCCGAACCCATACAGCGTGGCTCCAGAGCCTGCACAGATAGCCGCTAAGCTACTGGCACCCTCGGCATGCACGATGTCATCTTTTCTGACGGGTGGGGGGCTCACTGAAGGCAGGGAGGGTGTCCACGGGACTCCACGAACCCCCCAGTGCCTGGCCAGGGCCTGGCAAACAACAGGCCCTCGCAGAGGGAATGCATGACAACTGGGCCAAGCGGACAGACACCGGAGCCCAGTGCTGGCTGGGCGACACCTCCCCTGCCTGGGAGAGCCCAGTGATACTCACACGGGGCTGGGCACGGAGCTCTCCAGTTCATCCAAGAGACTCTCCACACTGGGCCGCACATCCTCCAGGCCGCGGCCCCCATTCCGCTTGGGCTTCTCTTTTGTCAGGGGCCCGGCTTTGCCTCCCAGTGGGCTGTTATTCTCTGGGATGCCATAGTGGGGGCTCAGAGCCCCGGGCAGCGGGGGACTTGAGTTGGCCTCATCTTGGAAGAGCGAGAGAGAAAGGCTGCTCAGCCCTGACCCCTCTGGGGATCCAGAGGCCAGCAGGTGGGCCCAGGGGGCCAGTCCTACCTGCAGGGAAGCCCGGGGGGTTATGCTGCACTGCGTTCAGTTCCAGCAGCAGGCGGTCGAGTTCAGAAAGGTTGCTGCCCAGGGAGGAGCTCATCACCGTGGGTGAAGGCTCGGCCGACTTCTGCTTGTTGGGGAAACTGAGAGAGGCAGAGGGGAGGCCACCGTGAGAGGCGCCCCCCAGCTTTGGCAGCCCCCCAAGACTCCAGCAGATTAAGGTGGAGCAAGAGTGAAGTCTCCCCCAGCAAGAGATAGGACAGTGGGGAAGGGATGTGCTGAGAAGAGGGGAGGAAGGAAGTCTTGCCTCAGTTCCTCAACGACACACGGTAACGTGACAGCCCAGCCCTGCTACTGTATGGGGATGGCAGCGCTAAGGCCACCAGGATAGCCCAAGGCAGAATGAGCTGGCCAGCAGCCCCAGGGCCTTGTGCAGGCTGCTGCCAGGCCGGATCCCTGGCCCTGGAGGGGAAGGAGCGCACAGAGGGCTGCGTCAGTACCTGTAGACGTGCTCTTCCTCAGCGGCTCGGGAACACGGGGGGCCGGCGCCGTCCTGGGGGACGGAGGTGCTGCAAGTTTTGGCACTGGAGCCGTACACGGGTGACGGGGACTGAGGCTGCAGGGAACAGAATGCTCAGAGCCTCCCCCGAGAAGAGGAAAAGGAACAGCCCGAGTCACCCCCAGAAGGCTCCTGCTCACAGACCGTCTCACCAGGGAATTCCCACACTCCGGCCGGGAGAAAGGTGATTAATACTTGGTCACCTGCCCCCTCACGTGGCCTCTGGGAGACCCGGCCGTTTCCTGGCCCCTCTCCCCATCGCCCTGATCCCATTCGTCCCCTAGCTCCCCAAGCTGCTGCCAGACAAGCTCCTACTGCCCCAAAGCCTCGGTTCCCTGTCTACCCGGCCCCTGTCCCCACCTTACCTGCTGGTGGATGAATCGGGAGGCACTGGGCTGCCACTGGTCTAGGGGGTCAAGAACCGTGCCATTGAGGGCCTCACTGGACGGGGGTGGCGGGACAGGGGGTGGCACGGCAATCTCCTGGTATGTGTGGTTTCCAGTTGGGTATGAGTAGGGGGTCTCCTCGGACAAGAACACAGGCCGTTTGGAGATGTGGGAGGTGGTGGACTCCAAGTCTGCCAGCAGGGCGTCTGCAGAGAGAACATGCCGAGAGCTGGTAGGAACCAGGGATCCTGGGAACACACCATCCAGTGGCAGTGCCCTCCTGGCCTGCTGCACCCAAGAGTTAATGACTTCTGAGCACCTGCCCCACCCCTGGGAGAAGGAAGCCTCGGGGCAGGAAGCTATCAGCCCAGACCAGCCTGGCTAAGAACCAGCTTCTAAAACTGACCTCTTCTCCCCAGCCCAAGGCTGAAGGGGCTGTGGAGGCTCCTGGGCTGCCCTTGAGGCTCTCCTGCCTCTGGCACTCGGGCACCTGCGGCCCCCCCGACAGGGCTGTACAGCTGGCTGGCTGGAAGTCAGAAATGCCTGCCTGGAACTCCGCACTCTGACTCCACAGGGTAAGGCGGGGAGAATGGGCGGGAGGGGCCCCACGTCACGGGGAGGGGCCCAGGCAGTGCCAGGTCCCACTTAAATCCCAGGAGTTTGGGCTTTCTCAGCAAACCCCCCCACCAACTGGAGTGGTCCCTGGGGTATGGTACCTGCCTTTCTGACCAGGTAAAAGCAAAACCCCAGGCTCCGTGCTCCTCCCGAGACCCTGGGCTACAGGGTAAGGTACGTGGGGAGGTGGGGGCTGGGTCGAGGCTGGTGCAGTGTTCCCCACCCCCTCAGCTGAGCAGGGGGCAGAACTGCTCTGTAGGCTGTTTCTGCGGAAGCCTGGCAAGCAGCCTGGCCCCAGGGCTCCAGGGCCCCGCTACTCTGCTTTTAACAGCAGAAGGGAGCCGAATCGAGTGCAAGCTTCCATTACCCTGGCACTGGACGGCCAACAGGGGGGCCCTGGATCTCCCCAGTCTCCAGACAAGAGAACAGCTGGAGGGGCAAGAGTAGAAACGGCCGACAACCCCTCAACTTCAATCCTCCCCTCCTGAGACCCTCAACAGCCCCACAGCCCAGAGAGCCTGGCCCCAACACCACACCCTCATTCCTACCATATTCAAGGACTTGCTCACTCTCACTTTCCATGCCGACCTGCTGGGGGTCAGAAATGCTCAGTCCCTGGCCCTGAGGATATTATTTATCAGAAAGCAATGGTGTATCTACTGCCAATCCCTAAGAACAGGCACCACGCTAGGCACTGTGTGTATGGGGTCTCTCCGTGAATCCTAAAATACTGGATGAAGCTGGAATTCTGATCCTCCCTTTACAGATGGGGAAAGGGGCTTCAAGAAGTGGTGGAACCTGCCCAGATAACAAAGCCAGTGAGAGACAGGACTGTCTGGCTCTTCAGTAGCCCCAAGCCCCAAAAATCTGGCCCGCAAGAGTCTGCTGTGATCACAACATGATGCCATATCTAAACGGTACAACTTCCTGACTGTCGGGGCCCAGGCTGATCCTTCCTTACGCCCTGTCCTCAATCCTACCCCTGCTCGGTAGAGGGAAGCAAGGGGGGCCCACACCTCCCAGCTGCCTGCCCTGCCTTCCCACCCCCAAGGCTGGCCCCATCTACCCCCAGCTCTTACCCAGAGGGACAGAAGGGGAGCTTGTCACAAGGCCCAGGACCCTGGGGCCAGCAGCCTGGCAAAAGGGTCTCCTGACTTCCGAGGAAAGTCAGTTCCTGCAGCCCCCTCCCCCTCCAGATCCTCTAGAAGAGTCTGGCTTCCTGTCTCTAGCAAAGCAGAACTAGAGGCCGTCAGTGTGCCTAGGTAATGACAGAAAAGGAACCGGTGTCCAGGGCCAATCTCAGTGGCCTCTGAATGGCCACACCTGCTGCCTTGGCTTCACACGGCATCCCCACTTCCCCTGGGCCCGATTCAGCAGGGGCAGGGTCTCCCCTTTTCCATCAAAGGCAGAGCCAGCTGGAAAACCCCACAGGGCTCCCCCAAGCAGGCACCACGTGCAGCCCCAATGGGAGTAACAGGAGGGGCTGCCGTGCCTGACCGCCCCCCAGGAGCTTTACCCCGTGTTCCTTCCCTTCCTCCTCACAGCAACACCAGTGCGGAGGGTAAAAGTGAGGCGCAGAGAGGCAGAGTCACGTGCCCAGGCTGCCAACGCGGGCTGACAGGACCCGGCCAGGATCTAAACTCGGGGCTCTCAGGCTCCACTCAACAGAAGACAAATGGTTAACCTATCCCATCAGACCCTCAAGGGAGGGCCTACGACACCCTCTGCCTCGAATCCCCTCCCCCTCCCCCTGACTCTAAGTCTGGTTTACAATTTCACTGGGGTCTTTTACACACTGATGCATCTGTTGGTCAGAAGGAGCAGTCCTAGGGGGACAGAAACAAAAGGTCCCAGGAGTTCAAGTCCTAGCTCCTCTATCTAATCTCCGCGGCCACACAGCCAATCCCTTCGCTTCCCTGAGCCTCAGCTGCCCTGGCAAGCTGGGGTTCATAATTCCTACCTCACAGTATTGGTGTGAGGTCTACATGGGATAGCAGATGCTACAGTTCATGAGAAGCTGCAAACATCAGATCTTACTTGTTTTGTGAAATTCTGAAAAACATCTTCCTCCAAGGAGGTCAGGGTAGGATGCAAAGTACTCACCACTCCTACATCTTCTATGGGTAGAATCTGGACAAGACATGACAAGGGCAACCCTCATGAGAAAAGTGAAGTAATAAAGTAACATTCAGAGTGAAGCGTGTGTGGATGCCAGGGGAAAAGCACATCAAACGTGTATCTGCCTGAGTGGGAGAGAGCACATGCATGAGGCACTCCTTCTCTCTCTGCACCCTTAGTCGTTGCTCAATGACTACACAGGACGTGGTGTCACTGTCTCCCCAGAGCTCCCCACAAATGCCTCAGGGTAAGGGAGCCAGGAATATAGGAGGCAGCCAAGGAGGCCTCTGGCCTCTACTTTGGATTCCTATGGGTTCAGAAGGCCGCTATGTCCCCAAAGCCTGCAAAATGGTTACGGGCCAAAGTCTCCTTGCAAGCTCAGCAAACTCCTCCCCTGCTTTAGTTAACAAAGGCGGCAGAGGGAAGAGTGCTCAGGGGGGTCCACTTGCAAGCAGTACTCGATGGGTGGGGTGGGTCCTCCAGTTTTCAGCGACACCTACTGCCTGGTACCTAGCTCTAAATACCCGACGGCCGGGCTCAGAGTCCTTCTACCCAGACCCCAAAGAAGGTGGAACACCATCCCCCTACCAATGTTTGTAGGATCCGCTCCAGATACACAGAGGCAGTACCAGAAGCGGGGTGGGGGGGCTCCTTCTTCCAGGCTAAGAAGGCTCCAAACGTCCTGAGCATTTCTCCATTAAGTTTCTGGGTCCAAGCCTGAAACCTTGCGGACAAGTCAGAGCCACCAGGACCACCCAAGCCACCCTGCGGAAGGAAGCTCTCCCTGGGGCTTCCCATCCCTTTTCTGGAAGAAACCACCCTAGATGCTGCAGGCTTTTTGCCTCTCTGGGCCAGCTGATGCATGTCCTGACACTTCTACTCACACAAGAGGGAAAGTGGAAGTCTTTGGGTGAGACCGTCCTATGTGTGTGTGCCAGGGGGAGGGGTTCTCCTCTCCAGGTAGATGGGGGAGGGGATGGCAGGCTGGGGGCAAAGTCTCCAGCCTACCAGGGGCAAAGGACACCCAGCTCGGCCCCGGCGAGGAAGGCGTGCGGCCCATCCGCTGCTTCCCGCCAGAGGGCGCTATTGGCCCGTCGGCTCCCAGCGGCAGGCACCGTAACCGAAGGTAAACTCGCGCAACCACGGAATTTTCGAGCCGGGGAAGACCGGGTAGCCCCCGGCCATGGGCTCCCTGGGGAAATTTCAATCCCGAGAAAGCTCAGTGAGCTGGAGGGACGGAGCAGCTACGGGAGGAGCACAAGGAGATGCCAAACCTCCCACCCATGTCTGGGGCACACGAACATTTGAAGGCATGACCTAAGAGTGACGCAGCCCCATGGGGCTCCGGAGACCCACAGGGACGCGTGCCCCTCCGCAGACGCAGCGCCGGCGGGCGCCCCCGTCGCCACCCCGCGGCCGGGCCTGGGCCCAAGCAGCCGCTCAGATCAGGGGCGCCTTCGGACCGGCAGGCCGCTCGGGGCAGGCGGACGGGGCGGGCAGGGCGCACCCGGCCAGGCCGAGACGAAGAGGCCCTTTCCCGGGCCCCAGCAACCCGCCGAACGTAATCCTGCGGGCCTGGCGGGCGGGCGGGCAGGCGGGAAGGGGAGCGGGAGCCTCGGGGTCTGCAGCCCCGAGGGGGTTGAGGGAGTTAAGACGCAGACGTCCCCGGCTGGCTGCCCAGGGAGGGAGGGGATGGAGGGGCCGGTCTGCCTGCATTCCAGGATGCAAGCCGCAGCTGCACCCCTCACATTCCCAAACCAGCCCGGGGGTGCAGGACAGGGGCAGCCCCGGCCCTCCTCATGTCCCCCAGACTGTGGCTCTGGGGGACCTAGGCTGACCCACTGACACATGACACCCTATAATAAGCTAAAGAGACGCAATGAACCCCTTCCACGTCCACCTCCAATGAAGTATAAAAACAAGTTAGACTCTCACAAGCCTGGCTTCCTCCTACCCAAGCCCTGGCCATTCTTGAGTGTGTGATAAAGACTGCCAAGACCAGGGCGCCTGGGTGGCTCAGTCGTTAAGCATCTGCCTTCAGCTCAGGTCATGATCCCAGGTCCCAGGATCGAGTCCCACATCGGGCTCCCTGCTCAGCAGGAGGCCTGCTTCTCCCTCTCCCACTCCCCCTGCTTGTGTTCCTGCTCTCACTGTCTCTCTCTGTCAAATAAATAAAATCTTTAAAAAAAAA